TCCCGAAGGAACAGGATAGTTCCAGAAAACGGGTGGCGTGACACCAGTCACGTGACCTCGCTGACGCAACAATATATTTTGCTCTAATTTATAATAACTATAATTTCAAATAAGTCATTTTTATATGATCGTTAAATACATTAAAATTAAAATAATGTTTATTTTTATTATATATTTGTGAGAAATGTTTTGTATTGTTTGCATAATTATATAGATTAACACGTTCGCTTCCATGTGCCCTACTTTTAATAATGGACGCGTAACACCGGAAGGTCACTCACAATTGTTTCAAAGCTAAATTTCTCTTGTGGCATATGAGTTTGTGACACTCTGCTCCTTGACACCTCTTTAATGTATAATTATACTTAATTTATTATGTAGCAGTATTAACCTAAATATCCACTAAAACTGTTTGTTTGTTTTTAATTTCGCGCAAAGCTGCACGAGGACTATCTGTCCGAATCCCAGACACACACCGATTTCACGCAAAGCTACACGAGGGCTATCTGCGCTAGCCGTCCCTAATTTATCAGTGCAAGACTAGAGGGAAGGCAGCTAGTTATCACCACCCAACGCCAACTCTTGGGCTACTCTTTTATCAACGAATAGTCACATTATAACGCCCCCACGGCTGAAAGGGCGAGCATGTTTGGTGGGACGGGGATTCGAACCCGCAACCCACAGATTGCGAGTCGAGCGCCTTAACCACCTGACCATGCATACTTGATTTTTTGGCTCAGCTCCTGTTTGGGCTTTTAAAATTTCTGGCTCACTCGGCTGTAGATAATTATTTAAAAAATATCCGATTATTTTTTTCAAGAAAAACATTTTGACTGTTTATCAATTAATTATTATTCATGAAAATATTTTAAATATAGTTTATTAATTCCAAGACAAGATTGTTGGAGACAAGCATTAAATAGCATCCTCATCAGGCAATTTATAGGGAGGCCAGTTTAACGTTTCATTGCCCCAGAAATGTGAGGATCAGTCTATTCTTTGATGTTTCATGTCCAAAAGAAAGGAAAGATCCAAGTTACATTTCTTTAATATATAAAATAAGACTAATAATGAAAAAAAATTAGATGCAAGTCAGAAACTATTCATGTATCAAAAACATAAAAAAAAGTGTATCTAAATCTATAAAGTTAACTACTAGCAACTTCTGAACTTATGTTTTATTTTGCTTTGTAATATGCAAAGCATTACCAACATGAAATATTCTCTCTATACAGTACTGGATTTGGCTCATAAAATACCTGCAACAAGTATTAAAACTACACACCAGTTTTTCTAATTATTAAACATGAAAGAATAATTTAAGAGATATTTACTTATTAAGAAACAATCAGTAGGCTTATGCCTAATAATCTATATAAAAACAAAATATTTTACAGTAAAGCTGATTAGCATTTAGTATATATATATATCAGGCTTTCCACATGTGTGAGCTTACACTACATTTGCTATTAGAACTTGTACACATATTACACTTGACATCAGTGCTCATGCAGACATTATAACTGGTAAAAGCTTACATTTAATTACTACACTTGATACTAGTGCTTAAGCACACATTACACTTCATACGCAGTTGAAAGTTACTAGACAGTTATCTTAAACTTAATATCTTTAGTAGGTCAACTTTATCATGGTCATCTGTCCCTTACAGGTTGTCATACGAGGACAGGTTAAGATCTCTGAAATTTTCTCTTAAAAAAAAGGGGGGGGGAGGTGATCTGATTGAGGTGTTTGGGATTCTTAATAGAATTGATAGTGTGAATGAATAATTTTTTTTTCGTACTTAATGGTGAGTAAGGTAGGACTACAGGGCATAACTTAAAATTTTTGCAGGGTAGGAGTCAAATTCAGCTGAGACGGTTGCCCTTTGAAGTGGGTTACTTTCAGATAAGGTGTATACAGTAGATTTAAGGGAAGGCTTGATTAGTTTTATTTTTTAAAGTTAATGGATGGGATGGCATAGGTCAGGGGTCAGCATCCTGCAGCTTGCGAGCTGTGTGTGGCTCTTTATAGAGATTTATGTGGCTTTACTCTTACCGTACAGAAAAGTTGAGAATCTTTCAGACACAACTGGTGTTAAAAATTTAATCTCAACATTTGCTATTCTTTATTTAGAATAGAGTCACACTGTTAACATTCTAGTTATCTCCTAAAATCTCTTAGAAGGCTTAGCCATACAAAAAAAAAAAGAAAAGGCAAATAGAACATTTTATGTGTGTTTTTGTTATAGCAAAGCCACATTGGGCTATCTGCTGTGTCCACCATGAACCCCTGATTTTTTTTTTTAAGTTAGACCATTATGGCATATTGTGGCTCTTGAAATGTTTTGGTTTTAGACAGAAACAACAACAAAAAAAAAGACTATTCTTCTTTGAAAAATTGCTGACTCCTGGCCTATATGGACAACAGTTCTCCCATTTTCCTTAAATCTTATGCTATTCAATACTCTGCTAATCTTATATTTTTAAACCTTATGACTTCCACTTATGAAAGTTGAAAAAAGGATCATTTATATGTCCTTCTATAACCATGAGACTGAAACAAAATATGTTACTCTGGATAATTAGAACTGTAATTGCATGTAACTTGAGTACATATGATTTCAAGTTATCAAAACAGATTTATAATTTTACTCTTTATGCCTTGAGGATGTCAATTCATCATGAATTATTTGTTCTATAAATCTTAAACTTTATTTTTTGATTCAACATTTGTATCACACGATATCTTAACAGATAATTCAGGCTTATCATAATTAGATACATAACTCTGTCCTAATAGAATACCAAAAACAAATATTAATAACAAAAAAACATTTTCAGTCTTTTGCTTCTGTCTCATTATCGATCTATACTTCGAGCGTTCATAATAATATTTTAAATTTTCTTGATCTCTGCGTAAAGAGTCACTATAATGCATCCGGTAAAACTCATCAAAATTATAAATTGGTGTATGACCTCTTGGGGGAGGAGGTTTTGATCTTTGATTCCTGCTTCTGTAAAACTTTGTGTAATCACCTTCATCAACTTCTGTTTCATAACTAGGTTGATTATAATGAGGTTCAAAACTACCAGGATTTAGTAACCCTCGATCATATCTTTTCCTAGAAGAATAATTCCCTAAAATTTCATAAGCTTCTGTAATCTCTCGAAATCTCATTCCCCCATCCATATTTTCTTTGATTTTATCAGGATGAAATTCCATTGATAATTTGTAGTATGCTGATTTAATTTCAGCTTGAGTTGCCTTTGCTTTTACTCCTAAAATGTCATACAGGTTTGTTTTACCCGTGACCTGGTTGGAAGTATAAGTGGCAAGGAAGCGACTAGATGTCGCACATTCAACACTACATCTTGACAAAAGAACCCTATGCATTCCTGTTAATTGTGAAGTGATCTGGATAATTGTGTTTTCAGTCTTAACATTTTCCTCTATACTACTTCACTGCTGTTGTTTCTCTATTTTCTGTTCAACCTAGACCCAATAAAAAAAAGTTACATATTATGAGGAACTGCATTTGATCAAGTCTCATTAACATCATAAACCTAATTTCTGATGACTTAAAACTGATGAAAATTATAATTCATTAAATTAATATAGTTCATACTGAAACACTTGTTGCTCAAGTAAATTGATAATATAAATAGCATCCACATCACAACTATGTCTATTTATTCCCAGATGGCCTGATGAGAACTGAACTGAATGAAAAATCATGTCTGCAGTGGTTACAACAGACAGTTTGGTTGACATATTACACTATTCTTTATTTTCACTCACAACCAGTGTTCCCTCTTAGCTGCACGGCTGCACAACAACCAATCAAGCACCACACACTTCATTATTCCAGCTGTGTACATCCTCAGTAATGGTGAGCAGTTTCAACACGTTGATGGCCTTAATGACCCTGGCAGTCCATAGGCCTAAAGCCCAAATAAGCAACTGGTAGCATTGGAAAGTGGCCTAATGATCCAATAGGGTCGATGGTCTAAAAATACTCCCCCTCTAAAACAACAACAACAAACAAACTAGTAGCACACATCTACTTGAAACTGGAGGATATGAAAAAATTCATTCCACACATGGACTGAAAAATTAGAGAGAACATTGCTCACAAGTCCTTATAAATGCATTCTTTAAGGTCATTAACTGTAGTTCATTCATCTCATTGTTACTTACTTTAGTCATTCTCCATCACTCTCTCATTCAATACCACATCTACTTGATACTGGAGGATATGAAAAAATTCATTCCACACATGGACTGAAAAATTAGAGAGAACATTGCTCACAAGTCCTTATAAATGCATTCTTTAAGGTCATTAACTGTAGCTCATTCATCTCATTGTTACTTACTTTAGTCATTCTCCATCACTCTCTCATTCAATACCGTTCACAATGTCATTTATTTGTATTAAACTTGCTCGTAACTATGTTAATATACAGATTATTTATTAACATTTGTATTTATATCAGGAGTGTACATTGGTATTTATGTTATCTTACCCCATAATTAATTTGTTATACTGACAATGAGTAGATGCATATATTGTGGTCTTTACAACCATAAAGTTGTGTATTTCTACATGGTGGGTAAGCGATTCTCAAAGACTGTTAGTATTTAAGACAAGGTTGTTTTGATGGTGATACAAAGCTGTAAAATGCGAGCATGAGTGTTCCATGTCTATGACTATGCAAGTTATCTAGAATTTGTGGATTCACAATGATAAGTTTATAATGGTGTTACAATTGTGTGGGTCATGTTATCTAACCTCAGTACAGATGAAGTAAACCATTAAAACAAGTCCTGCAGATTTTTGTAGCATACTGTTTAATATGCCAAAGCTAGGTTGGTTTATTAAAACAATGACACTGTTATTTTTCTTTCAAACAAAATGCAGACTGAAAATCAAATGACATTATCTAAGGTTACAGTAATGACTCCAGGAAAGTTATAAAAAAAGGCACTACTGTGACAAAGTGGCCTAATGATTCAATAGGGTTGTTGGTCTAAAATACTCCCCCTCCAAAAAAACAACAACTACAAACAAACTGGTAGCACACATCTGCACATTGTCTTGATACTGGTGGATATGAAAAAATTCATTCCACACATGGATTGAAAAATTAGAGAGAAAATTGCTCACAAATCCTTATAAATGCATTCTTTAAGGTCATTATATACATGACCAAATTTGTGGTTAAATCTGAGGTACTGCTCCAACTGTTCTGAATGCTGTAGTGTCTATTCTTATGTTTTAGAACAGATCTACATACTAGCATCACTAGCAACTAAATATCTGTTATATAGCAAGATAATTAATTAGTCAAAAGTGATAAAATTATTGTCCTTGTTGAGAAGGCAAAACATATAGTATACAAAGGAGTTCATCACCTTAACCTGAGCTATGAAATATTACTGATTTGTAAACTCCTGGATGTATTAAAGGTATTAATATATTGTTGATAACTATTTTCACTTCAATGCCATATAAATTATATATTAAAAATCAGTGTAATTTAAATAATTATGAAACAAATTCATTGAATTATTTTTCTCCTTTCAGATAAGCTGACATTTTTGAACAAAAAGTTCAATTAAAAAGCCTTTGACTTAGCAGAGATGACTACACCCGTAATTCTCGATGGATTACTAAGCGATTATTCATCTCATTAAGTCATGGACTTTGTCTGCAGATACAAGCCCAAAGTCTGCTTGGTTTCTGAAACTACCAGAAGACTATGAAAAGGAGGAATCCTTTTGCAACCTAGGACTTTGGAAGACCACAGATACATTCAATTCCAACTTATCCGTACAGTGCCAACAACCCAAAAGAAATAGCAATCTTCACACAGTCTTCTTAAGGAACATGGACTTAATCATAAATACCCAAGAAATCCATCAAGCTTCAGAAAAACACACCCACAGAACAACCAACAAACTTCATGAAAATCATTACAACATCCAAGCAAATTACAGAAAACATACTACTAATGGTTGTTATTTATACTTTTTCATTCAAGAGCTGAAAAACCACACTGGAAGCCTAGAACAACAGATACTAATCCAATTAAAGTCACTTATCAACACCTGAATCAGCACTCCCAAGACAACAAAATATCCAATATTGACCAGCAAACCCAGATGTCCATTGTCAAACCCAAATCCAGTAAAGACCAGAACACCAAAACCTTGATCAACAAGAAGAAAACCCAAGACAAACAAACACAAACACAGCAGGAAAAAAAACTCAGGACAAAGGTACATCAGCAGAAAACCCCAAGACATTAGGCCAATGGACACAGACCCGAACATCCACAAGAAGAAAGGAAACCCAAGAAAATACACCAGCTGACACCCAGCTCTCAGCCAAATTCCAAGAAGAACCAATTAGACTTTTTTATCAGACAAGACATTTCCTCAAACCTTGGCATTTTAGATATGGCTACACTGACAAGACATGCAGTGTTTTTCCAAGTGAATCATTGAGTGTATTCCAGAGATCTCCCCTAATCAATGATGATGATCCTAACAACTAATATAACTGATCCTTTACAAGTCTTAATTCACCTCTTTTCAAAAACATGTGACATTAGCAACAGGTTGTTATATCCATGTATGAACACTAATCTCTATTATTTTCTATTTCAGGATATTTTGGACACTGGTCAGGTAGAGTATTTGGTACCTAATCAGTGAAAGTGGGTTTTTACGGGGTACTCCTCGCCTCCCCCCCCCACAACAAATTCACAGGTATTGGATTTATTGATCCCTGCATCCCTGAAGGACCATAAGTCCAATATGGGCCCTCCTTATGATAATGAGAAGAGAAATGCATTCCAAGCACAATGAAGAGAAAACCAAGAACTGCCAATGAAATATCTAATTTTTTTTAATTTCTCAATTTTCTAATAAGTCAGAGCTTCTGATCTTACTCAACTGACAAAACAAAATCAGTCGTGATAGGGGTGAAGAGATATTAAATTTTCTGAGTATCCCACATCATTTTTCAATCTTAACTGGAATTGAGGCTAAGAAATGTAAACTAATACACCTGCCATGAAAAACAACAACAAAAAAATTACAATTAAATCAAGTTTTTGGTTATGAAAAGTTATAATTCAAAACAAAATGTTATGATATCTGACCAGCACACGCTCAGTGTAAAATAAATGGAACAATGAAATCAAGGTATATCAGAAAAATAAAGAGCCAATTTTGACCCCTCCTTTTTCATTCATATTGCCACTAGTTCTTGTTGCAATGTAGTAGTCTGTCTGTCCCTTGGTTAACTTAACCCTTTTAATGTTAGATATTTAAATACCTATACAACTTTATATAAACTGGCTCTATTTATAGAATACATGTTTACAGAACTTGTCGGTTTGTTATTTATTTATTTCTTAATGTAGATATCACATCTTTATATGACTGGTCCCTTTATTCTAACTTGGTAGGTTTTTACAGGTACAGTGTTTCAGGTATGGGTTACATAAGACTTCTTCGATGACTGCATACTTGCACACTTATCTTAGTTGTTTTTATTAAAAAACTTATACAAGCCAAATAATGTCATTTGTTATTTAACTACCAGGCATCTATATAAATAAAACAGTACTGTCTCTTGTCTGTCCAAGTAACTACTTTGCAGGGTATGGATGGATCTTTACCAAAATTGGTAAGAAGGTTCATTAGGTCCATGCAGGGGTACAAACAAATTTACAGTTTTGCATTTCGCGATTTTTATGGTCATTTTTGCATTTTTCACCTGTGGATGGATCTTCACCAAATTTGATATGGAGGTTTATTGGGTCCATGGGGATATACGCATAATTTTCAGTTTTACATTTTATGGTTTATATGGGCATTTTTTACCACTACTACATCCCCCTGTTGATGGACCTTCACCAAATTTGGCATGAAGATTTGTTGAGTCCATGCAGAGATACATTTTGTGTCTTGCAGTTTTTATGGGCATTTTTTACAATTACATGTAAGGGAAGCAACTTTTTATGTCTTAATATAACCTTTCATTAATCATGAATTTACATAACTTCTGTCTAGGGGAGGGGTAATCTGGCTAGTTACACATATTTTGATACTTACCATTCATACACCAGTACTTACAATGAAATACTAAACTTGTCACACAGTTTACAAATATCACTAACTATGTATTTACAGATATCTCAGTGTAATCATGAGCATATCCCACAATTATCAGAGTAACTTACAGTAAGAAATATATGCATACACAACTAGATACTGGATGAAGAAATATATCCTGAAAACCAGATATACCAATAATACTTAACTTAGGGCCAGTTATATGGCTGTAATTACTATATAAACATTTTAACATTGATATATTAGTTCGAAGGTATATCTGCTCTGAAATCCTGGGAAAACTTTGTTTTTATTTTCTATGCTTTGCTACACATTTAGAGCTGGGTGATTAACTCGATTACCTAAAAGCATTGATTACATGGATTACACAAAATAATCCTTTATCAACATTTTTTTATTTAATAGTGAGACTGGTAGAATAAGGAGTAGAAATATAAATTTGTGGTAGGGTAGTTATCTTCAACTGAGACAGTTTCATTTTTATAATAGGGTGGTTAGGATGTGGTGGATGTAGAATATTAAAGGGAGTTTAAAGGAAATCTCAATAAATATTTAATTGATCAGAACTGGATTTGAGATGTTTTTAATTTGGATGGGACAACCTTATAGTCCCTTAAATTGAAAATGCTAAATAATTTAATAAAAGAGCAAAGAATTATGCCACAGGTTGCCAGAAATTACAGCAGCGACTATAAGTAAATTATGCTTAGTAAGTTGATTAAAAATAGTCTTACCAAAAGTTAGCATACACTTACTTATTTAGACACAACTTTATAACACATAATTTCAAGAACAAGGAACATGTTGGTCTATCTAGGGCATCAAGTTCAATAAATGTGAAAAAAAAACCCTGAAAGTAAGCTCTTATCATTTGAATATTTATCAATCCTTCCTTTAAACCTCCTTAAAATAAAATTCACTGCATCTACTACATGAATACATATCTGAAGCCCATTACTCGTAGCCCTCCTCTGAACCCTTTCCAACAATTCAACTGAATTTCAGTGTCCTTCCTAAGGCATTTCTTAATGTTGAGACAAACCTAATCTTAACTTAATTAAGGTAACATATATCCTTTAAAAGTAAAAAAAAAAAATATCACTATTTTTTGCATATTTTGAGTCCTTAAACCCTTTACTTTCAATGTCCAGTGCAAAAAAAAATAAAAAATCTTGGTTAAATTAAAAATAAAATCCCTTAAAAGAGTATGAAAAATAAAAGGTTTTTCCATTTAAATGCCTTTAAACACATTTTCCCTCAAAATCTGAAAATTGACAATCTCGTAGCAGTTTTCAACTCATAACTGCAGATCTGTTGAAGCTATAGACTTCACAATTGGCATAAATACACATTATTAGTGTATCTATAGTGTGTGTTAAGGTAAAATTGATAAGAGGTTTGGTTTTTATTAAATGACCATTAATAAATCGCTGTAGTATATGTCCTACTTAGGGCATACTCAATAGTGTCATAATTTGACGTTGAATTAATTTTCAGTTTTCCTTAATTCAGACTAATTCTTCATATCCTATCAAAGTCTGGACCCATTTTTTAGGAGCATTCAGTCACATTTGTAGTAGTTATCAGGAACATAAGACATTTCTTTTGTATTTCTTTATTTTTATAATATGCAAATTACCCACAGTGGTAATGTTGTACAACATGTTCCAGAATATGTCTTTGTATCTCTTTCAATATATTTTTATGCAAAAAGCGTGGTATGAAGATGTCTCTTCTGATATGAAGGCTTAAACCTAGATAATACTATGTAATTGTAAAGGGTATATGTTACCTTAATTTAGATGCAAAATAGGCCAACAAATTAAAATTATTGAAAATAAAATACCTAATTCTAACAGTTATAATAAATAAACTTAGTATTCCAAAAATTGTTTAATCTCAAAGTCTAGGTTCAATGGAGATCCACTTCAATCTACACTTTGATCGACATGCATTACTGGGTTATACTAGTTTCGGAGAATTTCACCCATCATCAGTAACCCTGAATACAAGTTAACCAAAGAAAGATAACCTGGACCCATATCATAGTAAATAGTGGCCAATAACACTTTTTCTTCATTTCACCCATGCAATGTATAGGTTTTTCTCATAGTGACTACAATTTACAAAGCACATTCATACCTACACTACACAGTCTACATTACAGTATGTTTAATCGTAACACTAATACAAATAAATATTTATACCTAAGCCTTATATTATTACTATTAGTATTACTAATACTACAATAATAAGAGTATGATTGTGGCAACGAGTGTGACTACGAATAAGATTATATTTTCTTACCTAACTTTGGTTTGAACGTTCGTATACAAAATACTTTAATGTGAAGTATTCGTTGTTACTGAAAAAAGCTTCTTTTGCATTGACTAATGATAAACCCAAAATATTTTTAAGGGCCTCTTACTTTACAATGTCTAATCACCTCTCCTTCTTCTTCGCCCCTAGTGATAAGCAATAAAATATATTACTATAAATAATAATGAAAAACTATTATATATATAATTGTATATTATATTACACTTCAAAATGCAGTCTGATAATGAATTATATGCATATTAAATATATATATTTATGTATGCATCATTGAGCTAAAATATTTTGTATGGTTCCCTCTGTTACAAAGTATCAAAGCTCATACTTTTTCTATTACATCGATCAGAAATTCTTGCTAACGTAGTTATTATATACAGCTTTGTGCGTAGAATCAATGGAGTTACTACAATTTAAAAGACATTTAAAGTCGGTAGTTAGCTCGCCGGACTGGAGGCTCCGCACTATGGGGCAGTGGATGTGATATAAAGATGACGGTCAAATCCCAATATTCGATTATAATATTCCAAGAGTTGGTGGTGGGTAGCTTGAATAGCTCAATTTCCTCTAGTCCATCACTTTTAAAATAGGGACGGCTAGTGCAGATAACCATCGAGTAATTTTGCGTGAAATTAAAACAACAACAACAACAAACAAATAAACATATACTTATGTGTGTGTAAAAACTGAAAAATAAGCAAATTAAATCTAGAAACTTAATCGCAAAAAACTTAGCGAAGACTAACACCTTCCTTGAGTTCAAGGTTTGAATACTGATAGTGGTTGAATCAATTATGATTATAGTATACAGTGTTTGTGTACGTTCTTAAGTGTCGCATTCTCCAAACACCTGAAGATTGAAATGCATATTTATGGTATTGTTGTGTCAGCGAGTCACATGACACTGTGACGCAACGGTTCTAGAACTATCATGTACTTTGTCGAATGTTCAAGTTCTTACTAGAAATAGGTTACGCTGGTATATATATAGGAAGGGACAACGTGACGCGGGAAGATATAGATAGTGAGTAATTGATCTGCGGTCGGAGTATTATTGACGTTCGTTGCTATAGCGTTTGTTTAGCGCGATTGTTCAGTGTATCGGTTAAGTTATATTCGGAAAGAATAAACCAGTTTTATTAAGTAAAGGCTTGTGTTGCTTAAGTTTCGTCGGTACGAAGTTACGGAAAATTAATTAACACACGGAGACGTAACAGTATTCTATACAAAGACAAACCTATAAAGTTGCCAGACGTAGCGCCTTTGGATTTCTGTGGGATGATATTGTCGAAATAAGCAGCGAGAAATCGTTGTCCTCGAACACTAGGTGGATTATGGTTAGTATCAGATAAATGTGGTGTAGTTTGGACATGACAGCGAAGGTAGTAAGGAATATCCGGGAGACATTGTTATAGGCCTTATCTTGGTAAGACCATATCCCATTGGTCTTGTTTTCATACCAATGTCCTTCTTGTTTATGTTGTGTACTATTGCTTGATCCTCGTGGACAGTTTTTGCCACTGATTTTTGTATTCGTAGATTCTCACCTATTACATGACACTGCTCTTTGCTTACCATGGCTAGGTATGACTTGTTGCGGGTCTTTTAATGGATGGTTTTTAGTGCTCCAAGCTTATCTATATTTCTTTGTTACAAAATATATCATAGTCTTGGAAATTCTGAATCCAGATTTGAATATTTTGCGTCGGAATGTGTTGTTACAAACCCTTCTGAAGAGCGATGAGTTGTAGGTGGTATCACTCTATCTAAACAACGCCAAGCGATAGCAGAACGTATTCCTGATATATATACCGTTTCACATTGACTTCACAGTGGCTGTGTTTATCCATGACTTGCCTAATCAACATATTCAAAATTGTTTTAATCTAATGTTTTCAACCCCCTGTATATAACTCAAAGCCTTTGTGGACACGTATATATACATGAATGTGTTGATGAAATATTACTCTAACCACCAGGTTTGTAAAGGTTGTGCTTAAAGAAAACAGCTATAATAAAAACATTTCAATTTTATAAAGACAAAAACTGAGTTACTTAAAATAAGAAAATATTATCCCTAATTTGGCAAATCATTTTAATTATGTTAGTCTGAACCATAGTAGGGATATACTTTTGTAACTTTTAAGTAACTCAGTTTTGTAGTTTTGACTTTCTTGTTTCAATACTTTTTGTAGCATTAAAACTTTCTTTATTACCATAGCTAGCTAGGTTACCTATATATTGATTCTTACTTGTCTTTATAAAATTAAAAATTTCTTATTATACTTGTTTATTTCCTTTTTATTATCTGTATTTTTGTGCTCCAGTAATACCAAGCGTGGAGCGCGTGTATAACAGATTCAATGTTATTACTCATCAGGATCTCTAACGACCTACCCTCAAATCTAATTATATGCCCAAAGTAGCGCATCTTCCGTTATCCATATATATATATATATATATAGTAGTATCCTTTCGGTACAAGAAGGGGATCATTGGAATCCCAGATGGAAGAGTTCTGTAAAATAATTTATAGTGATAAGGTTCGTCAACTTTTTTGTATGCTTGTCTGGAAAAGTTACTTTCTTACGTAGATGAAAATTCGTTGAAATAGCGAGATTTTGATTTATTCCAGAAACACGTATATAGCAGTTTAGGCGGCATCATAGATACAATAAGGTTTAGTTTTGCTCAGCCAATACTGTGAAATAGTCATTGTTAATATTCAGACATTTTATAGATGGTTTTAAACGGGCGATTTTCATGGCCGCCATTTTGTTTCATCACGATCCCTACTCTTAAGTACTATCGGTCCTCATAACTGAATTACGAATCCTGGCACACTTCAGGCTTATAACGACAACATTTGAGGTTCGATCCCCACGGGGGACACATTACAGATATCCCGTTGTGTGGTTTTGCGCTCAAACAAAGCAAAACAAAAACTTGTATAAACTCTTCAGTCTACAAAAATCACTAAATAAGTAACCAGTAAGTACTGAGTCAATCTTACAAGCTTATGGTTATTTAGCCACTGTCAGATTGTATAGCACTATTCAGTTTAAATGCTTTTATTCAAACCTGAATTCACGCAACTGACAGAAATTCAACATTTAGTTGTAGATAAAAGTTATTCTTGGAAAGATCTGATCATTTATTCAGTGATTTTTTATATGGTTTTGTGTATTCATCCCTACCTTGTTTCTGTACGTTTTGGCATTGCCATCCCTACATCATAATTAAATTTTGCAAATTTGTTTTCTATTATTTGTTTATCACTTGTTTTAAAAACAATTTCATTGAAGTAGGTTGATAAGTGAACATCTGTTATATATATATATATATATAATTAAATGGTAATATATATTGTTAATATCATATCAGTTTTGTCAGTTTCTTCATTGTACTCTTTGACTGACCTCAGACACTGATATGACATATAATTGGTTACAATAGATTATTAATCATTACTGGTCATAATTTTGACTTCATGGGACTTACTGTTGAGGAACCTTAGCGATAGCCTGTTCCCAAGTATTTTTTTAAAATACTTTTCTGTCATACTGAAGCTATTGCACAAACTTCACTCATTTTTTGGCTAGTGTGAGAGAAGTAAAAGAAAGAGTATCACATTGGATCTTTAGCTAGTTCCAAGTTATCCACTTTAGCAATACTTTTCAATGATATCTGGAGTCTCTCGAGCTGTGAAACACTCAATAATGGCAATTAAGCGCTCAACTAAGGCTATAGCTCAACTTTAGCAGTTATTTGTAAGCATCATAGAGTAACAGATTGAATGGGGAACCCATTTTTTTTCTCAGACCATCATAAAAACTAAGCACTATCGTGCTTAGATAAACTTGCACTAATCCATTCCCACTTTGGGCACAAGTTATATAACACAGTGGCCATACTTCTGTACAACCACTCTATGGGGTGTGTGGGTCATACCCAAGTAGAAGGTTAGTGTAGGTATTTGTACAAGTTAATATAAACTGGAACTTAACATTTCTTTAAGTATGTAATGAGAAAGATTATCAACAATGTTGATCTTGGATTGTGGGATGCCACACTATGACCTTGGTCTGACCTAACACTGTGGTATAGATATAATTCTACTGTGTTTTGTTGAGTGTAAATAATCCGTTCTGAACTGGGTAGTATGCAGAGGTCCAATTCATCTCTGCTCCAGCCATCATTGTGTACTTGCAGCACATCAATAAATATTCTATCTCTCACTGTATAATAGGGTTTGAGTCTTTCGTTTCCTTCCCATGTTCAGTTTATTCTTTGTATCACATATCCTTCGAATCTCCTGTTTTTGCTGAGCTTAATAGTTACCAAGTTAGATTGTAGAGGAAAAACAACATTACTGTACCTGTTGGTTCAAGTTTTACCTAGGAATACCAATTTAGATTGTAAAGGACAAGCAGTGTTACTGTTATCAATGCCTACTAGTAACAAGCTTGGTGTAGATTTCTTAGTGAACAAACATGGTTTCAATTATTAATATCCATTTCTGAACACGAATCAAAAACGAGAATGTTAGTATCTCTATGCATTTTTTTTAATTAATGAAACTGGACACAGATTTTATGTACAAACAATTCTATGGAAGTTACTATCCAAATTATCTCATTCTGCACAGAAATAAAGTATTTAAGAATATTCTTGACCTCACAGAAACGGTCATTGTCGTATAAACATGGTGATTCATAATCATACATCATGATATTACAACTACTTCCATTTAGGGGAGAACTAAATATTTATATTCATAATCCCATTTTTTTTTTGTTGCTAATAATAGCATGACAATGGTTACACTTATATGGTAGAACTTATACTCAGCACTGAGTTCTAATTGTTTTCTTGGCAATATCTCAGCTTAAAAACGCTTAAAATAGTCTTAACACACACACAACATATTTATTTCTGCTGTTATGTAGCTCAAGAAACATTATATTGGTTTTCATATTCTGCCGTTATGGTTCACTTTCGTTCATTCGTTTATTAACACAAAACTACACAATGGGCTATCTGTAATCCTTCAACAGCGGGCAATGAAACCCGAATTTTAGCATTGTAAGCTGTGAGACTTACTCCTCTCTCCTGATCGG